TACTTGTTGTTGTCATTTTCCTCTTGTCCCATCTACTTCTTACTCTAACTGTAGCTACAACTAAATAATTATCCGATATATCAGTTGCCCCTCTATAAATGTGTACATCCTGGAGCTTACCCACCAACCTTTTATCTACCAATACATAATCTAATAAACTACTTTCATTACGTGCTATATCATACCTTGTATATTTATTTATCCTCTTTTTCATAAAATATGTATTACTTATTACAAAACCTCTTTCTACACATAACTCAATTAAAGGCTCCCCATTTTCATTTACCCCTGGCGCCCCAAATTTACCTACTACTCCCTCCACAACATTTTTGCCCACTTTAGCATTGAAATCCCCCCCACAAGTACTCTCACACTTGGTTCAAAACTCCCCATGCATTCACTCAACATTTCCCAAAATCTCTCTCTCCCCGCTACACTTCTCTCTTCTCCAGGTGCATATACGCTTATTATAACCCACTTTTCACATCCAACCTTTATTTTACCCTGCATAATCCTTGAATTAATACATTTATAGTCCCTCTTTTCCTGCCATAGCTTATCCTTCAACATTATTGCTACTCCTTCTTTAGCTCTAACTCTATTTGAAACCCCTGACCTAATCCCATTTATTCCTCTTCACTGAAATTCTCCCACCCCTTTCAGCTTTGTTTCACTTAAAGCCAGGACATCCAGCTTCTTCTCATTCATAACATCTACAATCATCACTTTCTTAACATCCGCACAACATCCACGCACATTCAGACATCCCACTTTGACAATTTTCTTCTTATTCTTTTTAGTAATTATTCCAGGAAAAGGGGTTACTAGCCCATTGTTCCCGGCATTTTAGTTGACTTTTACAACACGCATGGCTTACGGAGGAAAGATTCTTATTCCACTTCCCCATGGATATAAAAGGAAAAGTAGTAAAAACAAGAACTATTAAGATAAAATCAAAGAAAACTCAGATGAGTGTGTATAAATAAACGTGTACTTTTATGTGTAATGTGACCTAAGTGTAAGCAGAAGTAATTATTATTATTATTAATTTAGGGAACTGGAGCACATATCTAATTCCCTAGATCAAGAGCCCCTCACCAAGGAACCTCCTTGGAGGGGGAAGTTCGCATCCTGAAATTTCATTTGTATCCAGAAGCAAAAAATCTACCGAGTGACTTCATATCGTGAAAAATTCACATGGCGGGGCATTCGTAAGCCTAGGTGCCACTGTATAAGAGAGAAAAAAAGAGAGCAGCAATCCTACCATCATGTAAAACAATTACATGTTTCCATTTTATGCTCACTTGGCAGGTCGGTAGTACCTCCCTGGGCAGCTGCTGTCTACCAAAAGGGGAGGGTTGGCCTGTATATCGCAGAGTCACTTGTTTGCACAGAACTGCTTAATGCCTCAAATGATGTAGTGGAAGTTTTAGCAGTAAAAATCGAAAACCAAAACCTAGTCATTGTGGTAGTCTACAAGCCTCTGGATGCAATGTCCTAGCAATTCCAGGAACAGCTGTCAAAAATTGACCACTGTCTGGAAAATCTGCCAGCTCTGGCCCCCAACATCTTGCTCCTGGGAGATTTCAACTTGAGGCACCTAAAATGGAGGAATATAGCAAATAATGTTGTTGCAGTGATAACACCAGGAGGCAGCTCTGACAAGAACTCACACACACATGAGCTTTTAAATCTCTGCACAAAATTCAACTTAAACCACCAAATAATAGAGCCTACTAGATTGGAGAATACACTAGACCTCATCTTCACTAACAATGATGATCTGATACGAAATGTCACCATATCAAAAACAAAATACTACTCAGATCACAACATAATCGAGGTTCAGACATGTATGCGCGGAGCCCCAGACCGACAAAATGAGATTAGTCACGAGGGAGCCTTCACCAAATTCAACTTCAATAACAAGAACATAAAGTGGGACCAAGTAAATCAAGTCCTAAACTATATAAGCTGGGCAGATAGACTAAACAACATAGACCCCAACTTATTCCTTTAAGAAAAAGAAGGAGCAGATGTAAAATAGAAGGAGACAGACGCTCCCTTTACAGGCGACGGAAAAGAATAACAGAGCAGCTAAAAGAGGCCAATATATCTGAAATGAATAGGGAGTCACTGGTCAGAGAAAAAGCAAACATCGAACTTAAGCTAAAGGAATCTTATAGGAGTCACGAATCGCGGGAAGAACTAAAAGCCATAAATGAAACCGAAAGAAACCCAAAGTATTTCTTTTCTTATGCCAAATCAAAGTTGAGAACAACATCCAGTATTGGGCCCCTACTTAAACAAGATGGGTCCTACACAGATGACAGCAAAGAAATGAGTGAGCTACTCAAGTCCCAATATGACTCAGTTTTTAGCAAGCCGCTAACCAGACTGAGAGTTGAAGATCAAAATTAATTTTTTATGAGAGAGCCACAGAATTTGGTTAACACAAGCCATTTGATATTATCCTGACACCAAATGACTTCGAACAGGCGATAAATGACATGCCCATGCACTCTGCCCCAGGGCCAGACTCATGGAACTCCGTGTTCATCAAGAACTGCAAGAAGCCCCTATCACGAGTTTTTACCATCCTATGGAGAGGGAGCATGGACACGAGGGTCGTCCCACAGTTACTAAAAACAACAGACATAGCCCCACTCCACAAAGGGGGCAGTAAAGCAATAGCAAAGAACTACAGACCGACAGCACTAACATCCCTTATCATAAAAATCTTTGAAAGGGTCCTAAGAAGCAAGATCACCACCCATCTAGATAACCATCATTTACACAAGCCAGGGCAACATGGGTTTAGAGCAGGCCGTTCCTGTCTGTCTCAGCTACTGGATCACTACGACAAGGTCCTAGATGCACTAGAAGACAAAAAGAATGCAGATGTAATATATACAGACTTTGCAAAAGCCTCGACAAGTGTGACCATGGCGTAATAGCGCACAAAATGCGTGCTAAAGGAATAACAGGAAAAGTTGGTAGATGGATCTATAATTTCCTCACAAACAGAACACAAAGAGTAGTAGTCAACAGAGTAAAGTCTGAGGTGGCTACGGTGAAAAGCTCTGTTCCACAAGGCACAGTACTCGCTCCCATCTTGTTTTTCATCCTCATATCTGACATAGACAAGGATGTCAGCCACAGCACCGTGTCTTCCTTTGCAGATGACACCCGAATCTGCATGACAGTCTTCCATTACAGACACTGCAAGGCTCCAGGTGAACATCAACCAAATCTTTCAGTGGGCTGCAGAAAACAATATGAAGTTCAATGATGAGAAATTTCAATTATGTACTCCGATATGGTAAACATGAGGAAATTAAAACTTCATCAGAGTACAAAACAAATTCCTTCCACAAAATAGAGCGAAAAACCAACGTCAAAGACCTGGGAGTGATCATGTCGGAGGATCTCACCTTCAAGGACCATAACATTGTATCAATTGCATCTGCTAGAAAAATGACAGGATGGATAATGAGAACCTTCAAAACTAGGGATGCCAAGCCCATGATGACACTCTTCAGGTCGCTTGTTCTATCTAGGCTGGAATATTGCTGCACACTAACAGCACCTTTCAAGGCAGGTGAAATTGCTGACCTAGAAAATGTACAGAGAACCTTCACGGCGCACATAAGAGATAAAACACCTCAATTACTGGGAGCGCTTGAAGTTCCTGAACCTGTACTCCCTGGAATGCAGGCAGGAGAGATACATGATTATATACACCTGGAAAATCTTAGAGGGACTAGTACCGAACTTGCACACGAAAATCACTCACAACGAAAGCAAAAGACTCGGCAGACGATGCAACATACCCCCAATGAAAAGCAGGGGTGTCACTAGCATGTTAAGAGACAATACAATGAGTGTCAGGGGCCCGAGACTGTTCAACTGCCTCCCAGCATACATAAGGGGGATTACCAATAGACCCCTGGCTGTCTTCAAGCAGGCACTGGACAAGCACCTAAAGTCGGTACCTGACCAGCCGGGCTGTGGCTCGTACGTTGGATTGCATGCAGCCAGCAGTAACAGCCTGGTTGATCAGGCTCTGATCCACCAGGAGGCCTGGTCACAGACCAGGCCGCAAGGGCGTTGACCCCCGGAACTCTCTCCAGGCAAACTCCAGGTACCAACCTACTACCTAGGTACAGTAATAATATACAGGAAAAAAAAAAAGGAAAAAATATGATACCTAGTCAATGAAACTTACCAAACAAGATCATTTACTTTTTTTAAATCAATAGCCATCTCCTGCCAAAGTAGGATGACCCAAAGAAGAAAACCCATTCACCATCAAAAAATAGTAATCATGCCAGAAGTGTAGAGGCTTCACAGTCAATAACTCTCTGAACTGCAACATCACCACTCCTCCTCGTAGTGCAGGCACTGTACTTTCCACTCTAAGATTCAAATCTGGCTAACAAGTTTTCCCTGAATTCCTTAATGTTTTCCTGCTCACACTCCAACAGCACATACACTCCAATTAACACTTGTTATACACGCTGCTGGATTGTCAAGCCCCTACCAATCAAATCCTTTACCAACCCTTCTCTAGTCATCCTTAGGTAACATGTATCTCTCCTTTCTTCTACCTCAGATTAATACATCCTCTTGGGAAGTGTTACAATTGTTTTTCTGATGACACAGTTCTTCTGGGAGATTCTGAACAGAAGTTGCAAAGGTTGGTGGAGGAATTTATGACAGTATGTAAAAGAAGGAAATTAAAAGTGAACATAGGAAACAGCAGGGTTAACAAGAGTAACAAAACATCTGGGCAATGAAAGATTGGATATCAGATTGGGGGGAGGGAGCATGGAGGAAGTAAATGCATTTAGATATTTGGGAGTTGACCTGTCAGGAGATGGGTCTGTGAAAGATGAGGTGACCCACAGGAACCACAAGGGAAAAAGGTGGGTGGCACATTCAGGAAAAAATATAAAATAACGGAGACAATAATATACAGGTAATCACCCTCTTCATACCTGCTTTAAATCATTTTTGAAGTTTTTGATATCATATCCAAGACTCATAGCTGGTGAGATAACTCTAATATTGTGGAAGTTGGCAATGACAAAAACTGCAGTTCTGCGGCCCACACCCGATCTGCCAGCCATGAGGAATGATCCTCCGGGGGATGTTAAGATTCGGTCCACACGTGCCATAGCCTCTAATACCTATGAACAAAGTGATACACTTGAAGTTGCAACAATTAAAACAAATCAAGATATTAGCATGATAAAAACACAAAGTTTAGAGCTATGAGAGTTTTGTTATTCTGAGCAAAAAAAAAAAAAATTATGATCAAATGCAATATTTTTTTACTTAAAAAAGTGATGAATACCATATCTAGAGGTTATGATGATGACAGTCAGCCTTTAGATTGTGAAGGGTTCCTGCAATTATGTCTGATTAGTTATGTTTTAATTAGAAGGCTTGTGTACTAGTAGAATCTTAAAACCAAGAGATCTTCCCAAACAATTTGGCTCCTTGATATTGTGTATATGTATAGCCTAGTTGTTCAACTAGGAATGTGTAGACATAACTATGATTGGTTAACTAATGAAGTTTGGCCTCCAGCTAAGCATCAGAAGAACTCATGAAACCAATCATAGGTATGTCTACACATTCTTAGTTGGACAACTAGGCTATACTTCTCCTTGCAACAAACCGGTTGTATCCCACCGAGGCAGGATGGCCCAAAAAGAAAAACAAAATTTTCTCTTTTTTGACTTTAGTAATATATACAGGAGGAGCTACTAGCCCCTTGCTCCCAGCATTTTAGTCACCTCTTACAACATGCGTGGCTTACAGAAGAAATTCTGTTCCACTTTCCCATGGAGCTAGACTATACATACACAATATCAAGCAGCCAAATTGTTTGGGAAGATCTCTTGGTTTTAAGATTCCACTAGAACACAAGCCTTCTAATTAAAATAAATCTAATCAGACATAATTGCAGGAATCCTTCACAATCTAAAGGCTGACTGTCCTCATTAAAGCCTCTAGACATGGTACCCACCACTTTTTTAAGTAATTTTTTTTAACATGTTAGCCGTTTCCCACCAAGGTATTTAGTGCATTTAAAATCACCTATAAACAAAAATCTTGAGCATTCATAGGAATGCTTTTTTTCATTAAATGTACCTTGCCAAAGGAATAACTTGTTAAGATAGAGAGCTATGTAAAATCCTAATTTAGCTTACATTTATATCACAATCAATTATAATCAACAAAGCATTTTCATAATAATATTTTTTTTTAAATAATAATAATAATAAAAAAATTATTTTGACATGATACATGGTTGTACAAAGGAATATAATAGTTGAGTGTACATGCCAAAAGCCCCTTGTGAGCAAAGCACTTCAGCAAACTTCAAATTAACTTAAGATTAATAAGGCTATAACAGATTAAATGGTCATTAGATGAGTTACAGTGAGTACAAGAGAATTGTGAATTAATAGGTAATGCTATATGGCTTTAATAAGTCTAGAAGAGATAATTACAGTTTTGAATTACATATTTTATAAAAATTACAGTACAGTAGGGCCCCGCTTTTCGGCATTTTGCCTTATGGCGTTCTGCTAATATGGCGATTTCAAATTATGACCAAAATTTTCTATACGGCGAGCGGTCTTTCAAATATGGCATGTGCCACCCGGTTTGTTCACATTCTCCATGAGCACATCTCTCTATTATGTAATAATAATCACTCTTGGAATTGTGAATTAAAAGGTAATGCTATATGGCTTTAATATATCTAGTAGAGATAATTACAGTATTTGAATTATTTTATAAAAATTACAGTACAGTAGGGCCCCACTTTTTGGCATTTCGCCTTATGGCATTCCGCTAATATGGTAATCTCAAATTATGACCAAAATTTTCTATACGGTGAGCAGTCTTTCAAAGGGCTCTGGTGGCCTGGTGGTTAACGCTCTCGCTTCACACGGCGAGAGCCTGGGTTCAATTCCCAGCCAGAGTAGAAACATTGGACGTGTTTCTTTCCACCTGTTGTCTATATTCCCCATCAGTAAAATGGGTACCTGGGTGTTAGTCGACTGGTGTGGGTCGCATCCTGGGACACTGACCTAATTTGCCCGAAATGCGGAGCATAACAAGGGACTTTCTATATAGTAGTACAGTGGACCCCCACATAACGATATTATTTCAATCCAGAAGTCTGTTTGGGTGCCGTTATAGACCGAATTTGTTCCCATAAGAAATACTGTGAATTAGATTAGTCCATTTCAGACCCCTAAAAATACACCTGCAAAAGCACTTACAAAAATAAACTTACATAATTGGTCGAAGTTGGGAGCTGATCGTTATCCGGGGGTCCACTGTATGTCATTGTTGTCAGCTAGGACTGTATACCTTGTACATGTACTTGTAGTAAAATAAAGATATTATTATTATTATTATTAAATACGGTGCGTGCCACCCAGTTTGTTTACATTCTCCATGAGCACATCTCTCTATTATGTAATAATAATCACTCTTGGGCACATTAAATGCCTTATTTTATGTCAATATAGACATTTTCATTAAACCATCTATGATATTTTCTTCAAAATTATATAAGAAACACGTTGCATAGCATATAAACATTTTATGATTATATACTATAGAGGTGTGGTAGCCAGGCAGAGGGAAAACATTACGTCACTCACTCCCCTTAATATATAACGCTTTTGTTTACAATTCTTGGCTTGAATTATTCATTACTTCTCCCTTTGTTTATGATGGCATCTAAAGGTAGTTGTTAGAAACGATTAAACTCAGTGAACATGGTATGTCGATAGTAATAATATGGCTCTGGGCCACATTAAATATCGTGTAGCTTTATAGGTAGGTGTAGGTATGTAGCCCAGGTGGACTACATACCTACATTATTATTATAACTGATAATTATACTTATTTATTTATTTTATGTCTTTGCAAACAGTACATTGAGATTTTGTATTAACAATAGTGGATTGCAATGCAAAGAGAGCCTCAATTATGCCTTGGCATTATGGGCCAACTTAACATTATTGGCTTATAGTCTACTTAACACTAAGGAGTATATCATAGTTGTACAGTAGGATAGTAATTATTTCATAGTTGTACAGTAGAATATTAATTATAAATGAATCAAAATTTGTACAAGACAAAGATATATTTATATTCAAAAATGCTTTTTGTGAAAACGATGATTCAATTATATTCCTGTCAACAATGGATAAAAGGTTCAAAGTGATTGTTTCAGTTATGATGTGGGAGTACATAGGTGAGTAAGTGTGTACTGAGTATTTAGCATTTAGTCTAGGGTAATTAAGTGGCTTTTGAGAAGAGTCTTAAACTGATTTTCAGACTGGGTTACTTTAATATCTTCTGGTAATGAATTCCATATTTTGGGGCCCTTTATGTGCATAGAGTTTTTACAGTGTGATATGGACACGAGGTATATCAAAAAGAGATCTGTGTCCTGTGTTGTGGTCATGTGTCCTGTTTAGGCTGGTGAGAAGTTTGAGTGGAGGGTTTATATTTGTGTGTATTGTTCTGTGTATGTAGTAGGCACATGAATAAGTATGGATGTTCTTAATGGTGAGCAGATTCAGATTTTTGAAAATTGGTGGAGTATGCTGGCAGGAGCGGGAATTTATTATCATTCTTACTGCTGCCTTTTGCTGGGTTATTAGGGGTTTTAGGTGATTGGATGTTGTTGATCCCCATGCACAAATTCCATATGTAAGATAAGGGTATATGAGTGAATGGTACAGTGCCAGGAGAGCTGATTGTGGAACGTAGTACCTTATCTTTGATAGTATGCCTACAGACTTGGAGATTTTCTTGGTGATTTGTTGTATGTGTGTCCGGAACTTAAGGCTACTGTCAAGGTGGATACCTAGGAATTTTCCCTCTGTGAGTCTTGTGACTGATGATCCATTTAGCATTATGTTAAATGGATCATTTGCAGCTTTGTTTCCAAACTGAATGAAATAGGTTTTATCAGTGTTCAGGGTAAGTTTGTTAGTCATCATCCAGGCAGATATTTTCTGTAATTCAGCATTGACTGTGTTTGCTAGTATGACTGTGTTTGGGTGGGAAAAGACATATGTAGTGTCATCTGCAAATAATATGGGTTTGAGCAGCTGTGATGTATTCGGTAGATCACTGATGTAGATGAGAAAGAGGAGTGGTCCAAGGACGCTTCCTTGTGGAGACTCCTACTGTGATTCAATTCAATTCAATTTAAGTTTATTCTCTATAAGGGTTACAATGTGGGGTTTACATGTTTTGGGTATTGTGTGGTTTACATGTTATAAAATACTAATTACAGAGGGGGCCACTAGGACACCAGCATGGCTAGGCATTTTGAGCAGACTTAGATTAATTCTTAACATTAAATCCTTACAGATTATGGTATTAAGGCTAAGTAACTACATCATAATTTGTGAGTTTAGCAATGTGAATGCTTTTGTTTTGGCACAATACAAGGTGTCTATATTGGAGTATCATAGGCAAACTTATGACTAGTTAGGATTTATTAAGATTTAAGAATAGTATTTCTGGGTTTATAGTCAGTGGGTGAGTGAGTGTAATTGTGAACCACCAGGCGGCTATCATGTAGTTAGTTGTCGGGGTGGATCAGGGAAATAAGATGTTTTCTAACTGTAGTTTTGAAAGTGATGAATGTGTCTGCAGTTCTAGAGTTTTCAGGTAGGGTGTTCCAGATTTTAGGTCCTTTGAAATACATTGAATTTTTGTAAAGGTTTAGTCGAACACGGGGAATGTCATAGAAATGTTTGTGTCTGGTGTTATGATTGGTTGGGTGGAAGAGTTTGCATCATTTGCATACACACATTGAGTTCTGTTACTAAGGTATGATTTTATGTAGTTGAGGGAGTGGCCTCTGATACCATAGGGCATTAATCTGGAGTACAGCAGTTCATGGTCGACTGTATCGAAAGCTTTACGTAAATCAATGAAAATGCCTAGCGGGACTTCTTTCTTTTCAAGTGTGGTATATATTAGTTCTAGCATGTGTATGATAGCATCATTTGTGCTTTTATTATTCCTGAATCCAAACTGACAAGGGTTTAATATGTTGTGTGAAACAAGGTAGGAACAGATCCGTCTATGAATTAATTTTTCAAAGATTCTAGAGAGCAGTGGTAAGTTAGATATT